TGTAGTTTTGAGCTTTTCATCAGCTAACATCTGGATGAACATCTGTCTTGTAATTGTTTTTTCAGTAAATTTAAAAAAAAAATGTCAGCCATTTATTGCAGTTAAATTTAACATATTGTAAAAAGTATGAACAGGCCATCTTCTATAAGGTGCTTTTACAGATCAATTGCATCAACACCACATTTGGTTGCATTATGAAAATTGTTTCTGTGGTTTTCTTTCCATTGTGACATATATCAGCAGATGCATGAAGATTACTTTCTTTGCTATACTGTGAGAGTAGCATTTGTTTTGTTTTGTAATGTTTTACAAATTAAGTGAAATATTTGTTGTTTTCTCAAGTCATAGACAAAGACAAAAAGGATAATTTTTGCTTAAATTTTGCCTTTATGGCATTTAAACATGGTGAACAATGAATACATAAATATGCAGTTTTTTAAATTTGTATTTATGTACTTTTTTTATGCAATGAAGCAAAATAATTAAGGAATATTCATATATTCTTGAGATATGTCAAAATGTATAGTATTTACTGTATATTTTCGTATTATTGTATCCAAAATCTAAAAATAAAAAGTAACAATTAAACTTCGAATTAATATTTCTAAAATCTTCCGCTTCAATGCATGCATCAGATTATATGAAACATGTATAGAAAGTATCATTTAATTTTATCCATAAAATTTTGAGTTATGGCTGTTACCATTGGCAATATGTACAGAAAAAAACATTTTTCAGGAAACAAGTTTAAAGTGTTCATAAAATAATTTCTTAGTGAAAAAAGCATCCCTGATAATTAAAATTTCCCTGATTTGTAATTCACACCTTGTTTTTTTCCACACACATTGCGCTTTTTCTTTCGAACAAAGCGTAATTTTTTTCTTTGGGTTTTTGTAAAACTTGTGGAATGCTGCCAAGAGTCATGATTTTGGACTTTATCAAGTTTTTGAATTTCCTGCTCAGTGTAAAATTCAGGAAACAAAGCTAACCTTGAAAATGCTTCAAGCAAATTTAAAAATCCATCATTGAATAACACAACACTTACATTTGCTACAAACATTAATTTTCGCAAGTTTATGAATGCTTTTTTCGGAACAATTTGCAATGAAATGCCGTTAAAACGTTCCTTGATATTTTGAGTTTTGCCATGTATGCACTTTTTTTAAATAACCCTTGTTTATGTAGTCAATTCCATATATGTAGGTTTAATTGAATTCAAAATATATTGTTATGTAATTTCTTTCTTTTCTGACACCAGTTGTTACGTTATTTTCTTCCTTCATGTTCGTACGGGGTTCATAGATTTGGAGTGAATAACGGCAACACTTGATGAAGTATTGAAACACACTTTATTTACCAGTATTGTCAGGACAGCTCCAAAACACGTTTTACAGTCATCGATGAACTACTATAAACACGCTGACACGATCAGCGACACAGCCTTCAGGTTATCAGGCTATCACGGTGGAGACAGCTTCCTGCAAAGCACCCAACTCTGCTTTCCGGAGTACAGCTCCCGACTTTACTTGGTCGTTCTCAGAACTCCACGTACTTTCGAGACTGTCCACATTACAACTCGCAATACACTCGACGACACACGAGCACAGCTCCCGACTGTTTGGTTCAGTCGTTCCCGGAGCTCAACACACTCTCTCGATGATGCACTAACCGCGATACACTAACAGACTCCTTCGGTGCACTTGACGATCCACTCGGCACTCGCTGCCCGGCTGTCAACTCGATCGATTTCGCAGGGATTGACTCGCTAGACGAGACACCAACTCGATACTGACTAGACGAGGCACACTCACTCGCCCTCTCGATGAAGCACACATTGACTGCGGACCAGCAGGGTTTATATAGCTTTTCGGCTTGTGTTCGGGAACATTCTGGGCTAAACCGGTAAGAATTCGTTCCAGAAGGTTCTCCAACCGTCCATGGTATATCGTCAATTTTGTCACCATATGGGCGATTTCTCGCCAAATGTGGCAACCCTGCCATGCTTTCTAAAACTGCTTTGCAGGGAAGCCATCTTACCACGCCTGTACATTTCGTAACAATATGTTGATAATTTCAGAGGTTTTTTTTCTTTTCTGCAATCGCACATTGATAGTGGCACCAACTCGTTGATTGAAGAGGGCATTGGCTTCGAAGAAGAGCTACAATGGAATAAGCTGCTAGTACAGCCTGCTGCATCTCAATTAAGTTCCTTACATTACTTTGTAAGGTACCTCACTTTGGAATTCTAAGTTAATGTTGGAAGTGAGGAACCTAAGAACTGATAAGCGAATAATCGCTAGAGTTCGATGACAAGAAACAACAAGAGAGAAGGGTAACTAACCCTTTATTATTTCGATAAGATTTAACAAAACTCTGCCTGGGAGTGTACAAGTAAAGTCCACACTTTGGACTTGAACTTAAAAGGCTAAGAATTAAACTAAAACTAAGATTAACTAAATAAGTATAGCCAAAGCTATCAATGTTCAATGAGAGTTGGCCCCTTAACTTATTTTACTACGAAGCTTAGCAAGGGCCTGAGTACGGCCGAGCTTAAAAACAGCTTTGAGAGAGAGAGTGGCCAAAAAGGCAGACACGCGTAGTTCAGAAACTCTGATTCTCTCTCTGTCTCAGTAAGTGACTTCGTGGCTTAAATACCGCTCCTTCTCATTAAAATATTCAGCAAATTCCAAAACTACGTTCTGGCCGGAAGTAGTAAGTTGAAGTTAAGAATTTGACAGGAAAGGAACTTTAACTTAACTGTTAATAAAATTAACATAATTCTTACATAGCTTCCGACCAGACTTTAAATACTCGAAAAATAAGGTCTCAAAATGACCTTGTTTAAGACTTTAAACTTTTATCAATAAAAGATTCAGTCAGTTTACTTTTTCCTTTCAATCCATGAGTGGAGTTTTTTACTTTTCGTAGTCTACTACCAACCCTTTTCTGTACGTATCCAATGCATTCCAGTTTCTTGACCGAATCTTTACCATATATATCTTTCACAATTAAATACCCCTTAGAATCCTCATCCTACTAATACTCCGTGTACTTCAGCTTTCGTAATTTAATAGATCATTCAAAAAGCGGATAAGCACCAGCTGCTTCCATACCCAAAGCTGCTTCTTTATAATTTGCAGAACAATTATATTACGCTTTACATATGCCGTGCTGAAGGTTGCATTCCATTTTGTTTATTTTGTTGCAAACGATGCAAAAATGTGTCGTAGCTTTCAAATCAAGCACTTTATCAATGTTAATCGACAAAGCAGCAACACATCCATTCAACGTCGAATATTCTCTGTACCAAACTAAATATGAAATTAAGGGGAAAAACTATGTGCCAAACTAAATACAAAATTAAGGGGAAAACTATCTCCAGATTCTTAAAATATAATACAAACTATATCTAAACTTAGTATGAAAGTTTATAATTTACAAAATCTTGATGATAAATAACGTTTCTAAATAGGTATGTCTATTTAAATGATTATGATTCTGAAGTGATGAAACTTCATGAAATATTAATAATGAAACATAAATTACTTGTGCAGAAATTCTTTGGTCATACCAAATATAACAAATATATAAATTAAGACACTAGAAAAAAAAAATCATTGAATGCAATTTAAGGGTGAAATATCAATCTTGAATTATTCTAATTTATCTATTATCCAGCTTCTCAATGCAAATTTTGAAATTAAATATCTCCGTCAATTTTTGTTGCAGTAGAGTCAAACATGTAGTGTTTTATTTTTATAATTTGTACAAAATTTTAATAATATAAATGAAAGCACTGGAGGAACATATTAAAAAGTTAAATTTCACATTTTAAGCAAAATTATTTTTTTAAATGTCAAAACATGAATCTTCGCATCATTTAAAACAGCTTTGTAATTGGAAGTATATGCCTACAACCAACAGTGGTGCTGACTTTTGTGGAGACTGTGTATTATAATGCTCATTAAAAATATTTTAATTGTTTGAAATAAAGCAAATATCACTCATTTGAAATATGCATCAGCATGATATTGTTTAGGGTTTCAAAGTGTCTTGACTGACAGGGGTCTTCATTTTTGCACTTCAAGATATGGTTGTCACAATATTAATGTTTTTATTTTTGCATTTTAGGAAAAAGCAGTTCTGTACAATGTTAATGCTTCTTTTTGTATTTATTTTAGTGTGCTTAAATGCAAAAATTTAAGGAAAACCTTGATTTTTTACTGTCCGTATTGTGACAGAAATAGTACTTGAGTTAAAAATTAATTTATTTATTGAGTGGTAGTCTTTGAGAATAATTACACATTTTAGAAAGTGGTTTTCAGAAATTCATTTGTGGTTTTCAAGATATATCATTTTACCTGAAATATAGAATGAGGCTTTTCATTGCATCTACTTGCAAATAGTAGCTATGTATTGAATCTACCTCTGGAAATTCACGAAAAGGCAAAATAATATGTTGCCAGAGCAGTTATGTGGCAACCATGGTATATATGAACAAGGCCAAAACAGGCCAAACAAGTCCAAAATAGATCAAACGAGCCCAAAAGAGGCTAGGTAAATATGAACAAAACCAATCCAAGCCAAAACAGACATGTGCATTTTGGCCTGTGCATAGTACAGTTTTGCATGGGTACCAACTTTGTGTAATTCTAGTTTTTTTTTTATTAAGAGAAAACAGATAACTGCATCATGGTGAAAAATTAGGTGGTGAGAGCTTGGTGAAAAATTAGTTGCCAGTGATGCAGCTTTTCACTGGAGTTGTGGATAATAATAAAAAAAAAGAACATATAAATCCTAGCTTTTTGAGTTTTAGCTGTAACAAAGATACAGAAGAGAGTCAAAAATTCAACGTTTTGTAATTTCATTTTGATTAAAAAGAGAATCTCCCTTTCCCTATATCTTGTTTTGTAATTATTATTATTTTGTCTTATTTGTAAGAAAACCATTTGCGTCTTTCATGATAATCATGGCTAAAATTTTCTCTCATTGTCCTTCAGAATCTAGACAGTTGGAAATCTCGAAGGCGAAAAATGTCTGAAGACGTCTTCCGGAGACAAGAAGAACTCCGACAGATGGAACTGGAAGAGCAGATCTCTCAAGCTGCCCAGAAGAAGACAAAAACATTTTCAGAGATGGTAGAATCCAGGTATGCATTGATTCCTTCCCCTTCCCCAAAGTTGTGGATTAATAATACAGTCAAAAGTCTTTAATCCGGACTCGTCGGGACTTCGGCGATTCCGGATTATCGATTTTTTCGGATTATAGATCATCAGTTTAAATCTGGTAAGATGGCATGCAGAAATTATAAAATTAAAAATATGAAACCGTAATTTATGAAATAAAGAGCAATTATGATCTAAAGGGTATCAAAATTTACAAAAAAAAAAAAAAAACAAAAAAAAAAGCTTAATATTTTATTTGTTTACTTTATTAAACATTTCTTTCAAACGCGCGCATACGTAAAGCATACCTTACGCATAGTCGAAATTAGAAAAATGCATGCAACCAGAAAACTATTTGATTTGTATTCGTGATATTTTATAATGACGAGGAATTTGATTTAAATCATATCAAAGACTGAGTACATCGAGATGAAATACTACATTTAGTAAGGAATTATAAGCCGAATAAAAAAAACATCTGCCCTGAAGATAAGGATAGTGCTGACAGATCAACTTCCAGTTCATTGCGCGCCATGCGCCCCCCCCCCCCCCCCGCACAGAGCAGCGTGAAATTGATAAACAGATTTCGGAACGGTTAGATAACAAAGGATATGCCCTTTATCCATTTTTTTGTAGCAATTCCACTTTTTGTTTGATGGACATCGAAACATACTTTCGTTTTGTAGATCCTTTGGGAGCTCCAGCATTGGAAATTCTATTTGACATAATCGAAAGTTCAAGCTTACTTTTATAAAATTGCTTTTACAGTCTGCAAAAAATAATAACCTGGATCGAATTCGAAGATTAAGGAACAACGCAATCATCAACATTAACTGAAATAGATAATTAGATAATTTTAGCTTATACTGTCCGTTATATATTAAACGCGCACGCGAAAACGTATTCTGCGCTTGCGCAGATGCATATGCCCAGTTGTAAATGTCTGCGTGCAGGCTTAAAACGCCTATGCGCATGCGTCAACGTGGCGCATGCACAGAAAGATTTTAGCTTTGAGGTCCGGATTATAGATCATTCCGGATTATGGGTGTCCGAATTAACGACTTTTGACTGTAATACAGAATGACCACAAAGTCCCTGAACTTATTTAACAGTTGTTTGGGAATAGAATAGCTTTATTTTTGGTACTAGTCACAATTTCACAAGCAAGGTTCAAAGTTTTTGTGACAAATGACACAAATTATACCACCCTTGTTGCATGCAAAATATCAAGCCCCTGTAAGCAAAATATCAAACCTTGTTGCATGCAAAATATCAAGACACTTTTGAATGGTGAACGGTGTCTTTAACTTAGCCCTACAGAAAGAAGTCCAAGGAGTTATGCCAGGCAAACACGGTGGCTATGGAATGGATTCCTCCCTCCCAATTCATATGTTGGGGAATGTTTTGTTGAGAAAACTATAAATGCATACAATATCCAATGTTGTGCCATGCTATCCTGCTGAAAAATGATCTCTTATTGATGATCCTCCAACTGTTCGCATATGTAATGAAATGAAAGAAAAATAGTCCTAAAATCTTGCTATGTAGCATCTCACAACAGTCACTTTCGGGCTGTGCTGCTTCAAGTCCAGTGGCACAAGATGATTTTTGAATCCCCAGATTTTCCCATTCTATGTATGTAAATAAATGCAATAAAGAAAAAACAGTATCTTTTATTTGGTTTAATATCTATTATACATAGATATTAAACCAAAGCAAACTAATAGGGGAAAAACTTTGATGTACATGTAAATAATACCTCAAAATTTAACAGTACTATCTCTTACACAGTACCCATAGTAATAGGGTAAAGTTATTCTATTTTTGTCATTTACTTTCTCGTGGCTGAGGAATTTTACCTATTTTAAAAAAAGTAGAGCAAGAGCCTTTTTTTTTCTTTTTCATTTTTCAAAATTAATAATTTTGGAAGTTAAAGTGTTTAAATATTCAGAACTTATTGCAATAATTCATTTTGTACATACATTAATTTTTATATGAAAACATTTTCCAGCTTTTCTCTTTTGGGATTGATTGAAAAAAAAATTTTCCCCCTCCTCCAGGCTGAGTGTATCACAGTTTCTGTTTTGCCCATGTACTTTTATATTTTTATGTATTTGCCAAGGCATTATTATTATGCATTAACACTACATACATATTATCTATTAGTGCTGCTACTTTTTGGTACATTTTTTAGGTGGAAGGGAATTTTGTATATAGAATTAATGGTACTTACGTATTATCGCAACCATATTGGCGTGATTTGTAAGTTTGAGTAAAAAAGTATGAATAGAAAGGAAATGTACATTTATTAATTACAGATAATTTTTAATACAGTTTTTTATATTGTTTTCTTTTAAAATATAAAATAGCAATTGAACCCTTCCGGTTTCGAATTTGAATAAGTTGCAGAATTATTTTTTCGGCGGAAATCTTTTGGCTATTGCTTTTAGCACTGATTGAAAACCCCGTCTTCGCCATTAACAGCTTGAGCTTGGTGCCATATAAATTCGAAAGGTATGAGTCAAGATGATGAGGGGCTGTTCCTCTCTTGTTTTTGTTGCGCCAATTTGGCTGAGCCCCACTGCGCTCTACTGTTGTGGTGTGAACGCCCGTGTTGGGATCCACAAAGTTATATTTGTGATTAACATTCCATGCAGAAATCCAGCATTTTCGAACTTACTTGTATTGTATCCTTTCCAGCAATCCGAATAAATGATGCTTCCTTCTTTGATATTTTCGCAAATTTTTTCCATGAGGGTAACGGCGCTTCTGTTAGGTACAGTAACCAAAGAAGTCTCCTTCTTTTCTCGGCAAATTCCGCTGAAAACCCATTGCTGTGGTAGTACACGCCCAGTGTTATTTTTTCTTTTTACAAAGAAATTCTTTTTACGAAACTACGTATAACACGTAGGGTTGCCGTAAGTAGGGTCGCCAAATTTGGCAAATTTATGCGAATTTTGGCCTGGGTGCGTTAATACGTAAGTACCAAATTAATAAAAAAGGGGGGAAATGCAACAGGAAGTATGGTATTTATTAATTAGTGTAAATATTTTGCCAATTAATTTTTAAAGAATACAGTTTATTTTAAATGTTGTCAGTTGGCTTATAAAATGGTAAACTTGCAGTATAAAAAAATTGAATTGGTGCATATTATAAATAAGAGGTGACAAATTAAAATGGGGGATAACTTTCCCTAATAAGAAGGTACCTGATGAACTATACTGTGTATTGATATATATCATTTCAGTGGAATATTTTGTTAGTGAGGATAATAGAAAATCATTAATTATAAAGACAAGTTTTGGTAATTCTTCAGCCTAAGTAAAATTTCATGCTGATCATGTTCTGCTCTTCTGTGGAAGAAAAAACAAAATTAGGGAATTACCATTGAACAATTCCATTGAATTCAATAAAGCAGAAGTATTAAACATTATATGTGTAATATCTAATGTTTGTGATTATTAATGTTCTTCCTATGTTTTTGCCCTGTGAATATTTTGAGATTACATATCTCAGTGAAGAAAAGATACTGTTTTTTCTGTATTGCATTTATTTGTAGTTAAAAAGTTGTGTTTAATAATAATTTTAATAAAAACATTTTAAGTTAATAATTTCTGCTGCATAAAGTACTTTGTCTGTTCTTTTTTGTCTGCAAGAATAGGATCTGAAACAAATGTTTAATTTCAAAATTTCCTTTGAAATAGGAATAAATATATTAAAATTTTTACTGAAATTTATTTCTGATATTTCCATGTCATTCCATGGACCATGAAAATAATGCCAAGTAGCTTGCTTTACCACCAGTTATGGATAAGCATGACTTGACAATGCAGTCATAGTGTCTGCATTTTTGTTTGATGGCACTCGCTTAGTTCACAATAATCTTTTGCTTCTATGAATAAGGATATAAGTTAACTGCTATTGCTGTGTTTTTTCCTTTGCATTTTTTGGGGGTTGGGGATCAAGAAAGGTTAAAATTTGGGACTTGCCCCTCACAGAACAGCAAACAGTGGATCATTTTCAAAGATGTGGATCCTGTTGTCAAAAAAGTGCATTAATAAACATGGCTACATGCATTAATGAGCTGAATATGGCTGATAAAACAGTAATAGATAAGAATGGGGAGAATTTGGAAAACATATGGGAAATTTATGCTCACAACATTTTAAACAGAACTTCTGGTATTCTGGTAAAATCAGAGAGCTTAACAAAATAGTACAAATGGGCAAAAGCCTCTTATTAAATAGGTGCCAAGGATGCAGTTGGTGCAGCTTTCCAAATTTCATAGGAGAAGGTGGTACAGCTTTCCAAATTTCATAGGAGAAGGTGGTACAGCTTTCCAAATTTCATAGGAGAAGGTGGTGCAACTTTTTGGTAGGATCTCTGCCAACATTTATTGCTTGATGGTAACCACCTTTCAATGTCAGCAGGATAATTCATATGTACACTGCACACACACACACACACACACACAAAAAAAAGGGGGGGACAGTTCTATATCTCCCTTTCTACTGGGCCGATTGACGAAATTCAAATTGCATTTTTCATGTCTCGAAAGCATGCCTTAGGATATATATTAGATTTATATATAGCTTTGTTCTAACATAGGTAATTTTGATACAAAATCGTACTTTTTATGAAATAACAGCAATTTTTTCCATATTTCGATTCTACGACTCAAATTATGCCTAATTATGGAATTTTATAAAATTTGGTGCGAAATTTACGGTTTGGTTTATTTAATTATGGCAAAGCATACTAGGCTATCTCCCTAAGGGGAGGGAGGACTTTCTAAGGGAAACTGGCTCGTATACACGTTACACATGGGGAAAACCATGAAAACGCCCATGCAGCCAGCCCATTCGTGGGATTTGAACCTTGGACCGAACTACCAGTGTTCAGCGACTTTACCGCTTGGCCGCTGGTGGGCCCGAAATTTACAGAGAAATTCACAAGTTTATGTTGGTGCTTTTTTTTTTTTTTT